ATGGATCTCAAAAATTCTCTTGTATCTTATATCTTCTCCAATAACTTTACAACGTTTCTGTTGACATGAATCGCGTTCCACACCGCTGACACACATATTTCAACAGCACAGAAGGGAAGTGAGACGTTTTAAAATATTAATAGATAAGCACTATTTGTGTTTTTTATTATCTTTTGGATTATTTTCCAGTTGCTTTATAGAAAAATTATTTTTGTAAATTTTGACATATTGGAATGTCATTAATGCATGATGATAAACTAATCAAACAATAATAAACAACTGCGTGTTCTACTTTATCTTATTTTATTTCATTTTACGTTTTCGGTAAAGTTGAGGTACTTCATTTTATTGTACTCTACTTTACTTTTTCAAAGTAAAATAAAGATAAAATGTCACCTCTATCTGAGAGCCTACTTAAGGACATTCATGTAGCGGATCAGTCTTAAATTAGTTAGAATTCTAATTTAAAATTTAAAATCATTATATCTACATTTGTAATAAGATAACAAAATAAAGAATAGCTTGTGTTATTGTTTAAAGATTAGTACCTTGATGACAATTATTTACTATTGCTTTATCAGTTTCTTTGCTCATGATGAATAAAATCATGATAAATAAAGTACCAAAACAACATACAGCAATTGCATTTTCACCCGACATTGAATTATTGAAATATCCAAAGACTGCAGCAAATATTGCTGCAATTAATAACGCATCGATTACGTAGAACACGTGTTTTGGTACTATAAGGAAAAAGACGAAATATTAGTCTAAGAAAATCTTAAAATCATTAGCCTATCTACATTTTAGTCGGTGTATAGATGCAAGGAAAAAAAGGTCAATAGTTCGACAACTACGAGTATTAGGTATACTAATTTTTGCTTCACACACATAGTAAAAATTTAGATGGATTTTCAAATTTTTTCTCAAAAGTTCAATATATTTACAGCAATAAAGCAAAACAAAAAAAGCAAAAACTGGCAGCAAAATCTAATTATCTTACATACACAATCTTATTCCATTTTATCATGATTCTGTCCATTTAAACCGAACCACTTGAAGTTGAATGGGAATGTCCCTATTACAAAGAAAAAAAAGACACCATTCATGATTTTTTATTTTAATAAAGAGAGTAAAGTGGTGCCGTTCCTATCGGAATCAAGATTTTGACTCTAAATCTAACTAGAATACGAACTTTGTAATATTGCATGGAACATTTTCTTTATTTTATTTGAAGTGCTTCATTTATGAAACTCTTTTCATGCGCAACTGTTTCGTTAAACACAATCAAATAAGTATTGAAAATATTCGAAAAAATACTTCAAAGTTTTCTATGAAATATTACATTACTTGTATTCTTGTAAGAATAAGAGTCAAAAGGCTTACATTCTGGTGCAGGATAAGTAGAATTACCCTATACATATACATATACGTAATATCCTCTTTTAATAATGGAACAAAAAAACTTATTTTGATTAGAGTCAAAATTTTACCAACAACTTTTAACAGAATAGTCTTACTATTGACGAATGTACAGTAGAGACCTGCGGAAGACTCCGAAACCCGATTCCAACTCTGACGAAGTCGGAGTTGGCAAAATGAAATTTTCCGGAGTCGGATTTTCTGAAAAAATTTCTCGGAGTCAAATCGGAGTGGAAATTATAACAACCTCTAATGAAATTTTTCTATTTGATACTACAATAACTTTATTTTCCATATTAATAAGCAAAAAAAGGGAAAGACAGCACCCATTACATATACTAAGAATGAATTTCAGGAGAAAAAAGGGTCATCTTTTGGCTAAAACATTCAAAAGATTAACCTCATAAAAACATAATATTATTAGTCAAAAAATATTTCATTGTCATCCAAAGTACAATAATTCTCGTCGTCATCAATTATCGATTGTTTGATAGAGTCCTGCATGAAGTCGATTTTAGAGTCGTCGTCACAGTCGACTAAATTTTATGCTAAAAATTTCGCTTTATCACACGAATTTTTTGAATCGTAGGTTTTATTCTCTGATATTTATTGTATAAACTGATGCATTTTGGAGGTTCCAACGACATGCTATCAAAATCTATGGATATGAAAGAAAGTCGGAATCGAACAAAATCGAAGTTGAACTTGACCCCGACTTTCTTTCATGTCCATAGATTTTAATAACACGTCGTTGGAACCTTCAAAACGCATCAGTTTATGCAGTAAATATCAGAGAATAAAACCTACGATTCAAAAAATTTCTCGTACTAGAGTGAAATTTTTAGTGTAAAATTTAGTTAATTTCGATGGCGACTCTGAAATTGATTCCATACATGACTCTATTGCTTGGATATAGTACATGTCGAATACTTCCTAGTTACTGTTTTTTTAATTTTCACTGCACAACAAATGAAAAAGAAATTCAAAATTAATCTTTTAATGATTCTTTGATTTTATTTTATTCGTTTGTTTGTTTATCGATTTATACATATCCAAAATTAAACAATAAAATACATTAGAAGTCGTATGCTTTCAAGAAAAAAATTTTGGAGTTTACCAGAGTTGGAATCGGAGTCGGATTTCGGAATGAAAAAAACCTGACTCCGCAAGTCTCTAGTGTACATCATTCATGAAACTTTTTTTTTTGATATTTTCTTTATAGTTCAATGAATCTCGAAACACGTTACTTACATAATCTTGAATATGAATCATCATCTGGTTGAGTATTTGAAGATCTTTGGTGAACAAGACGTGTTTCAATATTTGCTGCCATGTTCTCAATATTTAATGTTCGTGGTTCACCAACATTATTAAGATTTGATGATGATGATGATAATGATGATTCATAAATGCTTGCTGTTGAACATGATGTATGAAGACCTGATTGATTCTACAATAGAAACCGAACGTATATATAAAAATTAAAAGCTACAATGGCTGTCACTGTGTCAAAGAAGGTCGTTTTTACTTACTGTAGTAGCTGGTGATGGTACCAACATTTGCTTCTGAAAAAAAAAAAGTTCTAAAATTCAATATAAAATATAGCATTCTTACTTGTATCAGTTGAAGTTTATGAAGTAATTCTTCATTCCATGGTTGATTACCTAATTCAATAAGAACCTAAAAAATTTCATGAAGTAGATATTATTCTATTATCTTGATTATTTTCTGTAAGTCAGAAGCTATAGCTTACTTGTTTAAATTGCATTTCCAATTCTTTTAAATCGATATCCATCATAAATCTAAAATAAAAAAAAACAACACGTGAAAGTTAACAACCAACACGTATTCACAAACTGAAGATAAAATTTCTAATAGATATCTGAAACAAAGAAAAAAAAAAACTTCGTAATTTGATTTGAAATTATAATGTGTACGTAATACTAGAAAGAAATCAATGAAACCATTGTGCATATAGAACAAAAAGTAGGTCGACTAAATGAATGCGTGTGTTACATGAATTGAGTATATAACATTAAATATAGATGTCGCACAAGGACAGTACGATTTTATCGGGAACAGGTTGATAATGTATACGAATGCTTTAGAAGAGGTAGAAAATCAAAACTCGATAAGTGTCAGGAACGGACAGGAGTTAAAGATATTTTGACATTCAGCCCTTCCTTGAGATCAGTTGCTTTTTTCACACTTTTACACCAGAGTTCTAAACTAAGTGGACTTTTCCAACATTCTTTTAGGTGTAGCTTACAGAAATTTTACGGTTTCTTATTTATCAATGAATGTGGTTCATAGATCGTGAACTTTGTTTTGGTTTCCTTGTGTGAATTGTACTAAAAAAAAATGATTCTGTTACGCCATGTGCGGGAGACGTGCCACAAGACATATATTAAACCTATTATGCTATATCTTTTCTTCTGTTTTGTTATGTATTTTTATGACTTCAAAACCTGTATTGAAATTAATAACTTTAACTTCTTTTGACATTAACAAGATGAGTTTGTATTTGATAAACTCCCCAATTTCAAAATTTATTTGATAAGAAGTTGCTTAAGCAATTGATCAGCAACATTGTTATTTTTCTAACACGAAACAGTCGTGTTGTTAAATGAGAGAAAAACGACAACCGAGAATATCAGCATGTCTATTATCAAATGAACAGTTGAGCATACACAAGAAAAACAAGAATTTGTCCTCCAGGAAAGCATAAGGTTGTTATATTCATTTCTTGACAAAATAACCTTACTTCTCATTAAAAAAAATGGTTTGACAACAAGTACTTGATTTTTTTGTAATGGTTGAAGATCGATTCCAGCGATATTATTTGTATAACACGCTCGGGTAGTTTTGTCTAGCCAGTTACACTCAGAAGAAACATCAGAAACAAGAAATAAGGTATTCATCGAAAACTTTGTTCCGAACGAACAGAATGATGTTTGTGAAAAGAAAGAAGTTTTTTTTTGTTGTTCTATTAGTTTTTAAAGATAGTTTTGAAGAGTAAACCATAAATGTTTCATATGTTGGTCAAGTATTGTTTCTCTCCAACTTTTTCTAATGACCTAGTTTCTCCAAACTAGTATCAAACTAGAATCTTTCAACTAGTTTATATTTATTTGTTGTTTTTATTGTTGTTTGATATAGCAATCAGAACACAGTGAAACAAATATTCTTGCAACTGCTGTTAATCTTTAACTTATAAATTGGTTTTTTTATTTTAGTAGATAAACACCAATATTATCGAAAGAATTTCACATAAACTTAATATACATATGTATGAAAAATAAGAATTTTCATAATAATTAAAGATGATATCATATTTAGATGTATAATAGGTACTGTTGTGGCTTAAAAAATGAGAACGGCAGTATACAAGCGAAAAGAGAGGAACAACACTTCAAACATAGCCCCAAGTGAGCAAAAAATAAGCGAAGACGATCGACATGACTAGTCTGGAATGTTCGTAATACTCGTCACGTCTAGTCTAGTCCAGAACCCCTTACACACTCGTCATGACTAGTCATCTTTGGGGAAAATGTCCTTTAACCACGTCTGGACTAGTCCAGAAAGTTCTTGAATTTCGTCATGTCTAGTGCGTTTTGTCCATCTATCTCGTTCAGACTAGTCCGTAGAACGGATAAATTATAAAAGAAGAAGACGAAAGGGAGATTCGAACATTCGGCCCGGCGGTATTCAATATCTGACAGGTGTCTTGACGGCAGACAATGACTTTGTGACGTACTGACGTCAGTTTAAACAGTCTGAGTAGCAGAATGACTCGTGTTCATCTGCTAGGCGGTTTGAAGCCCGTCAGAGACGAGCGACTTGACTAGTATGAAATGTTTTCAATGGTGGTCAGGACTAATCTGAAGTGTCATCTATGCACGTCAAGACTAGTCCGTTTTTTTAGAATTCTATGTTAATTCTTGTTCATACTAATCTAAAAACTCCAGGTAACTTTTCTTATTTGGACTAAACTGTTCTGCTACCTCGTTGAAACTGATCTATAATGGAAAAAAAAGAAGTAGAATGCAAGACAAGAAATTTTGCAGTATCTCTATTATGGTTAAAAACAACCGATGAATAATCAGACACATTCAGAATATGGACTAGATATGAGAATAAGAAATATTTCGCCACCTATCTTCTACTAAGAACTTCATGATTCTTAGTTAAGGATGGTGTGTTTTATTACAATTGCGAAAAATTAATGGCAATTATTAAATTTTTATTTATATATATGTAGACTGTTACCTGCGTTATCGATTTCTTTTTCAATTCGGGTGGCGATTAGAAAGTCCTCAAAAACCATTACTGAAGTGAAGGATAGACAAGATCTTCTGTGCACCCGTATTTTAATATAACTCATCATTTTTTTAATAGTTTTGTATGTAAAAAAGAAATGTAAAAGTACATCGGAACATAAAATAGTAGAAGTAAATACAAAATACAATGTTTATCTCGTAGCGAGAAGTTCCAATTTATATAGTTTAAATATATTGTACGACAATTTAATTTAATTTAATATATATTCTGATGATTTAAATTTAAGAATGTATTTAAACGACATCAATTTAGTTCAGTCTTAAGTTTAAAATGTGCAATTTAAATTTAAACTGAAATTTTATTTAAAAAAATTTAGTTTCTTTTCACTATAAATAGTTTTTAATTTGTTTTGACATTTAGGACTTTTTTCAACATAATTAACTACTTCTACGTAGTTGGTAATAATCAGAAGAAATTTCTCTAAAAAAATAAAATAATTTTTAAATTCATATAGTTCAACATTGTCTAAATAATTTTATATTCCGTAGTAGACAATTTTTTATTAAGATGATAGCTTGAAAAACTTTAAAATTGTAATACATAACATCTTAGAATGGTTTCGATCACAGTTATCGCCCAAAAATTCCCCCTTTCATTCAAAATACTGACTTTTTAGGGTAGATTGCGACGTATTTCCTGTCCGGATTCGCTATGCTAATTGGGTTATTGTTGAAAGCACTTGGGTTACATACAGGTTTTCATTCTGCGTCGAATGGTACCAATCTTGAGGGCAGTTGCTGACCAAAAATACCCCTTTTCATCGAAAACACTGTTTTTTTTGGGGTAATTTTCGAAGTATTTCCTGTCAAGATTTGCTATACTAGTTGGATTATTTCCGAAAGCACTTGGGTTACATACAGTTTCTTATTCTGCATTGAATGGTGCCATTTTCAGTAGCTGTCATCGATCAAAAAGTACCACTTCTATCGTAAATACCGTTTTTTTTTGGATATATTTCCAGGTATTTTCTTCCCAGATTCACTATACTACTTGTTTTATTTCTCTAATCACTTGGGTTAGATGCAGAATTGAGTTCTGCATCTAACCCAAATAGTTAAAAAGATAACGCAAGCGGTGACGGGAATCAGGACAGAAGATACCTCGAAAAACCCCTGGAAAAACTAGTGTTTGTGGTAGAAGTGACACCTTTTGCTCAATGACATCTACTGAAAATGGTACCATTCAACACAAAATTAAATTCTGCACCTAACCCAAGTAGTTTTAGAAATAACCCAACTAAAATAGTGAATCCGGACAAAAAAAAGTGTGAACATGTCTCTATTATCGATAAAACAAATCAGCCCATTTGCTCGAGTCGTAATGGAAATATTCGATTTTTTTCTCGTTCAAGTGACTTTTGGGCCACTCTGTACATTCAAGATTAAAAGAATGATAATAAAGATATGTTTATTTAATAGGTAATTATTTAAATGAAATAATATTTGTTTTTATATAGTTATTGAATAAGGCCCCAATCACACCGACTAATTCAAAGTGAATTAAAACAGAATTAACGAATAAATCATCTCAAAAAGACGATTTAAGTCGGAATAGACCAATCGCGTCGCTTTATTTGTTTTATCTTTTTCTGTGTGATTGGGGCCTAAGGTAACTTAGTTAAAACCTTTATAATGATGATATAATAAATTATGATTGGATGAATATAAATCAAATGAAATTAAGAAGAACAAACAAACAAAATTGATTACTTATTTCTATAGGAAAATGTCAGAATTATTAAAAGAAGTTTCATTTCGAAATTTTATTGATTCATTAAAATTAACACCTAAACATCGATTAGTTGAATTTGGAGGTTACTTTTTTTTATTATTAAAATAATCGAACTCTTTTTTTTTCTTATCTAAATGTAGACATATGGGCTGAAATATTTCTTTGGTGTTTTATGACTTCAATTGTAATACATATAATAGCTAGTATATTTGCTATTAGATCTTTACAAAATCATAAAATTGGACGTTGTTATTCAATAGTTATTATATTATCAGGAATAATAACACCAATTATTCCATCAGCTTTTACAAGTAAATATATTCTTATTGAAATATCGATATTTATTTATTTATTTATTTATTATTATTATTCTAGGTGCACTTATATCAGCTATATTTTATGCTGCATCTGTAGAACTAAAACCATTCTTTTGTTTTCTACTTGGTATTGGACAAACTGGTGTCATACTCTTTTTTTCTTTTATTAAAATTTTATCAACATTATGAATCGATTTCCTATTAACTTTTTTCTTTGTCTTTTTACAATAAAGCAGAATCTTTGTTTTTTTTGTTTAGTGCAATCTCAAAGAATTTTTTATTTGTTCAGATTTTATTTTTCTATAAATAAATAATGTTTGATTGATCAACTTATCGACCTTTTACGTATTGATTTGTGTTTATTTAATAAAAATCCAACTTATAGTGGAAGGTCGTGTAGTGTAAGTGAACAACATTCAACATATTCAGGTCAAATAAAAGGCCTCGGTATCAAACTAACAAATATAAAAAATGAGGTGCCTGGATTGAGATAATCGGATTTGAAGACATTTGTCATATATGTATGATATTGACATTTCAAAAGACTTTTTAAATTGTTTTTCATGACGATTGAATAGAACTCATCATGTTGCATAAAAAAAGAATCATCTTTTCAAATTTAATAAGAAAGTTTTATGAAACTCTGAAGTTTCAATATATTATCTCTTTTATTTCAAAATTACGGTATCTTCAACTTATTTCGTAATACTTTCTTATTAAATTTGAAAGCTGAACCTTTCTCAGGCAACATGATGAGCTCTATTCAATCGTCATGAAAAACAATTTAAAAAGTCTTCTGAAATTTTGAAATATGGACATCATACATATATGGCAAATACATTCAAATTGAATTATCTCAGTCCAGGCACCTTATATATTAGATTTGTTAGTTTGATAGCAAGACCTTTTATTTGACCTGAATATATCGAATGTTGTTCACTTACACTACACGACCTTTGATTGTTAGTGCATTATATATATAGTAAATCAATTTGGTTAGAATATTAAATATTTACTTTGGTTTTTAGTAATTCTGTTAACAAGAGAAAAAAAAGTAATCGAATTAATTCTCGCAGATTTGTCAATATGTATCATCATATGTGTACATTGGATTCTTTTAGATAAAAATAGAAAATCAATTGAAATAGAATATGTTTGATAAATATGTTTAGATAATAATATAAGAGAATAATAAAGCATTGTTTTGAACATAAAGTAAAAATAATTTATTTATTGTGGATAAATCTTCTGGTCTAATTGATATAATCGTTAACAATATATTATATTTTATTGTAGAGTTTATTCTTTAGTTCATTTTATTATTTTCCTTGTCTTATTGTTGAAACGATGTTATCAATGATGAATTTTTTTCGTTCATTCAAAAGTGTCTTACATGCTAATTAACTAATTATATCTAGGATAGATGAAGTTTGTTCAATGAAAATAGTTCGTTCATATCACGTTAAATCTATTCTCGTGTAGTTTGCCGTTTTATTAATCTGATTTTCTTCGTTGGAGAATTCTTTCGACGCATTTTATTTAATCAAGATAAAGATCATTTCAGTGCTTTTTTTTCATAGAATACTTGACATATATATATGTTAATTTAATGTATTTAACAACAATTGAATAGAATTGATATTTGTAAATAGTACCTAATAAATGTTAACACAATAGGAATGTGTCAATGATTTGATGGAATTATTTATAACCTAATATATATATATATATATTTCACTGTCTTACAATGATCAATTGATTAAAAAAAGTATTAGTTTCTTGATTATTCAATGAAAATATAATATTAATCAGATGTTTAGAGATTGAACAAATATTCTTTTGTTATTTTATTTGATTTGTCTTTATCTATATTTAAATCAAATTTAACGATCGAAATATGTTTGAATATGAACGATAAATCTATGTTGTTATTTGTTTATAAGTTGAACATGGGTGAGTAAGACAGAGTTCAGTTTCTCACTTAAATAAATTATCGTCAAAGAATGCAAAGAACGAGAGAAAAAAAAAAGAACGACTAAAAAAGGATTGTTATTTTGTTGGCAGCAACGAGTGACGAGAATAGCGTCTTCTTATTTTTTTTTCTTGGCTCAGCGTCTGAAGAGAAAAAACAAGAGAAATATAATGGATCGATGCATCGACTAAAATGACAGCCACAAGACTCTTCTCTAATATAATCGTTATTCCTATACAAATATCAAGTTATCCATTTTAGGACATTTTAAACATACTCTTTTAATTAACACGATTTTTATTTATTTATTTTTCATCTTACATTAATTAAAATATTAACAGGAAAAAAATAATATTCCATATTTAGTATATTCATCTTTACGAATCTTTGTTAATGAAAATTCTCAATTCGTCAACCATCGTCATTTGATAAATCGTTATGACGAAGAATTGTTAAATATATTTCAACCAATCTTATGTTTAAAATAAGAAAGTTAAAACAATAATTTAAATGTTTTATTTTTAAGATCTAAAACTTTTAAGATTATATCATTTGTTTTAGAATGCATCATTAATATCGACTATTATTATCTAATTGAGTTTAAACACATATTACTTTATTAATACAATGATTGAAATAACTGTTGACATAAAATAAGCAAATATTGACCTTTATTACATTGGAAAATATACATCTGTGACAAAGTTGACTATGAGAATATTGACAATATGACCATTTTTGCATTATTCTTATTATCTTGACACAGAAGAATACTATTGAATTTATCTACGCAGATATGTTTAAATCTATGAGAAAGAGAGAGGAGAAAGGACAATGAACTGTATCGATCATGAGAAGAAAAACGAGTTACACATATATGCGAAAGTGGTCAAATATGAAGAGAATTATTAGCTAAGTTTATAAGACGAACGAGATAAGAGAGAGAATGATTATGTTACATGTGATTATTTCTAGAATGGTAGATTCTCCTATAGATTTTAACTTGTATAACGTCTATGTTCAGTTGTTAATGAGTATAATATGTAAAAATAGTTAGTTTTAAAATATATATTTATCTGTATAGTTATCTTAATATTTGCTTATGTTAGGATTGATCAATAATAATTTGAATAGTTTTCCCAGCTATTTTATTTGGTAAGTGTTGATCTGTTTTTTGAATAATCTTATGAATAGTTTCTAGGGAAGAAAAGAAAAAATATATATTAACGACTCTGCCATATTCACCAACATATATATATATATATATATATATATATATGTGATCAGTGCGTGCAAACGAGTGTTGACCCTTAACATAAAAAAAAACAGGTCGTTGTTATCTGGACGTAAAGTTTTTTTTTCCAAATCTTATTGTAGAAAAAGACAATCATTAAATAATCATTAATGTCAGTTGATGAAAATTCTTCTTCTTCTAATAATAATAAATCAGATCATTTTGTACGTAATCGTTGGTCTCAAGTACTTGATCTTGCTGAACAACTTCGACATAAAACTGAAATTCAAAAAAATGAACAATTATTACAATATGCATTTGATATTCCACCATCAAATGATCGACAAACATCTTTAAATCATGCTGATAATGTTAAATCATTTGAAAATGCACTTTTATTTGCTAAAACAGGAAATTTTAATTTAGATAATTTAAGTGAAAAATTTCTTGATTTAAAACGTACATTTAATCATATGATTAAACTTAATAAAAATGATTTAACACAAATAACATTATCAACATCAATTACAAAAACAGCATTATTAATGATTTTACGTTCAATTGAATCAATTGTTGAAGTTATGACTAATCGTACAAGAAAATTTCCAACATTAAATTCTCTTATATCATATATACGTTCACGTCAAAATGAATTACCTATACAAGGAAAATTACTTGTAGAATGGTATAAGGTTGCACAATTTCTTGATTTATTAATTAATGATTCTGATTGGCTTGTACAACCACGAAAAGCATATTGGGCTATTAAAATTTGTAATGAAACATTAACATGGGCACGAGGAGTTTTTAATGAAAATTATCGAACTAAGTCATCTAAACGACCTATTTTTGATCGAGAAGATAGTATTACTACATTACAATCAAAAGATAAAGAGTAAATCAGTTTATTATTTTACTTATTAGCAGACAATTATTTCATTCAATTTATTTTCATTTCAAGATTTAACTATTTATTTATTTATTTATTTATTTATTTATTCATGCTTGAAAAAGAATATTCGTTTATCAATTTATTTTAAAAAACATACACAAAAAAAGAACTTATATACAAAAAAAAAAAAAAAACTATTCTATTTTTAATAAAAAGCAACGAATCTATAGTTTTTTATTGAATGATGATTTTTTAAATGATCCTACTGGTTCTGTATCAAATATCATTTTTAAATTTTTTTCTTTTGAACTACTTATATTTGATGGAGGTAATGATGTTGTTGTTTGAGGTTGTTTCGTAGGATCACTTATTGGTGGTTTAGTCATATCCATAAAACCAATATTTGCTTCATCATCTGCTGGAAATACTGTAAAAGCATTTGTATAAACAATTGCTGATGGAACCATTATCATACCACCTATCATAAAAATATTATTACCATTTCATTAAAAAGAAAAGTAAATAACTCACGATCTTTTGTTTTCAAATGAACATATCGAATATCAATAAAATGAACAAGACCTTTGAAATAAAATTGAAAATAAGTTTGAAAGAAAAACAAAACAAAAAAAAGATTTTAAATTAACCTTCAATTCCACCACCAGTTCCATGTATTTTAATTCGACATCCCCGAACAAATGGTTTATTAATAACAAGAAAAATTCCCGATATAAAATTAGTAGCTACTTCTTTTAAAGCAAAACCAATTGTAAAACCTGTTATACCAATACCAGCTAATAATGGTTTTGTATCAACACCAAGTGTACCAAGTGTCGTTACAGTAAACATAGCATAAATAACAACAGCAGCTGTTTTAGATAATAATCTTGCTAAATCTTCATCTTCAATAATATAAGATCGAAGTAAAAATCTTTCGATTGATGGTGAAATAAGTAAGAAACGTTTGGTTTTTTGCATTGTAGTTGTTGTTGGTGGTGGTGGTGGTAATGATGATACAATTGGCTGAGCTCCCCATCCAAACCAACGAAGAAATCGACGAATACGACTTGGCCGTCGATTATCCGATGAACTTTTTCCTAAATACCTCCGATTCGATTGTTGATCAAAATAAATAAATTGATTATTGTAGGATCCTATTATACATCGATCTCCAATATTCGAACTAAGTTTTACAAATCGAGATACTACAGATAATGATCGGCAATTCATTTTTTTTAAAAATTATTTCTATCTAATAGAAATAAAACAATCAATTTAATAAATGTCTATTATATATTATTTGTTTAATATAAAAATATAAGAATATATGCTCATATAATCTATTTGATTTATTTTTATTATAATCATCAATATCAATAATAAAAACGTTAGAGAAACTTAATATACACATGTGATTATATGCATTGTGTTAAGACTCTCTTATTGTCATATTTTATCTATAGTAAAACAATGACATTAGATCTGTTTAATTAATCGAACAAATTATAAAAGTTTATCTTGATATAAATCGGATGCACATATATATTTGATGATTGATAGATGATTATATTTAAAATAAATTAGTCAAATTTTATTTCAATATAATATATTTATTTACTTTCATTTGAATAGTTTACATTATAAGCATATATATGATAAACAAATATTGACATTATTGTAATTTTATATTAAACAAATATATTATCTCATCTTTATTCAAACTAACAAAACAAATATCGACAGACAAAATAATATTTATTTATTAAATCAGATATCTATTGGGCTAATATATGATAAATGATGAAAAGCTTTTTTCCTAGAGAAGGAGATCTAAACAATATCCCATTTAGTTTATTAAATATTTCATAATTTCTTCTGAATTATAAAAAAAAAATAAAATCAATTTATTAGTTTTGTCTTAAAAGAAATTTATTTTTGTTTTTAACGACAGTAAAGGATATCCAAAGCAATAAATATATATCTTACATTAGAAGACATTGTATTATTTCAAATGTTTATTTGTAATATTCGATAAATATTAGTTATCATCGATATTTATCAATTTATTTAATCATTTTTATTATTTCTCAACAAATTAATAAAACAAATAGAAGAATTCTTAGTATGAATCATTCTTGATTTTATTTAAAAAAAATAAAACAATGAATTTTCTCATGAGAGATGTCGTTTCAATTCGGTTGTGCCAATTCATATTGGATATATAAAAGAAAAAAAAATTATGAATATCAAAGACGTATTAAGATATGAGAAAGATGGAAAAACAAGTCAATCTATTATAAATACTTTTCGAGATTCTATGAAGACTTTGGTTTTAAATAAATTAAGATTGAAATTCATTTTTCATAATAGAATATATATTCTTTCATTAAAATACAATACACAATCACAAAGATTTAATTATGTTACAGAATATCATTACCAATAGATAGACATTTATCGAATATTAATCAATGAGAGTTACTTCTAGACAGGGAATAAAGTAAATAAAAGTTCGAAAGATTACTATTGACATCAGTATAAATTATTCTGAGAATGGTTGCACTAGAATGTCATGAATATATATCATTAGTCGAAATCACATATTTATTGTTTTCAATACTGTGCATATCGATTGTATTTGTTAAAGATTTTACATAAACTTGTCTTTCGCCTTAATCAATACAATCTTGATTAGTTAGGACAATACTTACTATCAAGTTAAACAGTATAAGCGACATTATACTGAAGATAAATAATGCAAGAATAACTACTCAAACGAAGTATCTTATTAGTAGGATATTAAATTCGATTGAAAACTAATGATTATAATAATATTTTTTCTTGGAAAATTTCCTCCAATATGATAATATAATAACGATTGAATAGATAGATCTTGTTTAACTTGCTCATACAATTATTCAATTTGATTATCGAATCTAAATAATAAATTAATTTGAGAATAATCTATTCTTGGTAAACCTATCTATCTTGAATTTAAGAGAAGAAAAGTACGTTTGATATTAATGATTATTTTTTCATCCGTTTATTGATAAGTTAATAAAAAAAAAAAGTTTGTTTTTTACATAATATTCTATATTGAAGTTGAAAATAAAAAGTTATTTATATTATTTATTAATCCGTTATTTGATCTCACATTGCTATTGAATTAATCACCTTTTAGAAAGGACGGAGGACATTTTGCGTTACTATCGGCCCTATAGAAAACACAATCAGTTTTTCATGAAACTTTCAGCAATTGTAGCGCTCATAATCAGTAGTCACTCCTATAAATCTCAGATCGATCGGTCAGCCTTTTGTCTTACTTTGGTGGTCCGCCAGATAAGCCCCTAAGTGACCTGTATTACTGACCTTATGTACTTTCAATCTCCACTATATGATTCAGACCCAGTGCTATTTTTTCAGGACCAATACCAAGCATGAAGAGCTTCAAAAGTACCCAAACAAGGGCTTACAAAAAATTTGTCTTCGAGTCTCTTTCTATCATAGGTGGCGGAGCGGTTTCAGTCTAAGGTAAGTTCAACTTTCTAGCCAAACAAAGCCTGTTCATGTAAAAAGATAGAGTTGAAACCAGATTAAAATTTATTATAATCGTAAGATTTTAATTAATTTTTCTTTGCGATAACTGATAAATTTTTCACCTGACTTTCATCGATTTGCATCAGTTAGGCTCTAATTTTCTTATGAAGTTTTAATGGTCTATTATCAGAGTCTATCGTATAATCCATGAAATTTTTGATTTTTTTTCAATTACTTTTGATAAAAGTCGTTTAAAAAGTTATTAAAAATGCATTGGAATCGCGCGATTATAATCAATTTTTAATTCATTTCAATCTCGTTGCAGCCCGAGTTTTTTTGTATATGGACGATAATCGGTTGAAAATCAATTTTCTTCATTCGCTTATAATGACCAGCGTTATAGATTTTCTTGTTAGATTGTAATTCTCTATAAGTGTGATAATTATCTCAAGCGTTATTGTTTCCGATACAACAGAAACTAATGAAATAACTGAGAAAGCTTGTTTAAAAAAGCAACAAAAAAACAATTTAAGAAGAAATAATGCCAGTCAACAGCAAAAACGTTTTTCTATCTTGATTCTTTGAAAGAAAATCGTTACAGATGCTTAATCAACCTGATCACGAGGTCTTTGTCGGTTTTAACAATGACATTTCTGTGAATAATTCTGGTCCATCTTTAGTATCATTTGAACTTTTCAATAAGATTTCAATAAAGAATGGACTTTTTTATCTTGAAAGAAAGATATATTCTGATTTTGTTTAGTTGATTTCGGTATACGAAATGAGTAATGTTATTCAAGTATCTAAAACTCAAAAATTATTTTAAATAGAAGTTCGTAAAAAAAGATTCAACTGTCTTATATTAAGAGCCAAGAATTTGATATCAGTATAGATGCCAAGAAAATCTAATAAATATCTCATTGAGCACGAGTTAGTAGTAACGAAAATAAGGACTGACCTTCTAAAAATACGTCATCTGCCAGAGGAATATGAAAAGTAAACAATAATAGAAAATTTTTATAGCTTATCGAGCCTAACCAAGCTTTAATTTGTCCTATTCTGAGCCTACCCTCTGTCCTCGTTCGAACCTACCCAAGCCTAATGGCTCCGCCCCCTATACTTTCTATAGTACACCATCGATCATATGGCAAAAAGATTGTGAGAAGTAGTATTTGATATCTATGATGCTAATCATTTCGGACAGAAGTTAAGTGATTTTCTAAGGAAGTGTTTCATGGGAAATGATATAGAATAATACTGTTTAATTTATTGTAGGTCAAGTACAGTAGACTAGACTCGAGTTTTGTTTTAAGGCGCGGTAACTTAGTATTTTGTTGATATATTCACTTTTATTTTGATAGAGTTTTACGATGACAGAGCAGCTTCTCATTATTGATAGTGGGTGTTTTTAGATGTATTCCTCTGTAGATCTATGTGTGCCAATAATTATACACGTCCGCAAGTAGGCACTGACCTCGTCCGTTCGGTCTCTCTTTCGTCTCTGCTACTCCATTATCATATTCTACCTTCTTTCTATTCGTTAGTGGACATCTCTCTCTTCCATGGGCATCTATGCATAATGATATTATCTCACTCTATACACTCCTAGGTTAGTTTATTCTTTCGTCAACGATGTATTTTCTCTCTCGTGACCGATGTATAAAAGGTGAGGATATTGATGAAATAAATTCAGCTTGGAAGATAGCACAACGCTTGTCATTATATGACGACTCTGGCTAACGGACACTTGATCTATAACTAGGAAACAGAAGAGTGTGGGTGTGTATAGATGTGGACATAAGAGAAAAGAAGATCTATACCAACACATACTCACACCCTCAAAGGTAACTTGGTTTGTCGCTTTCTCTCTCTCTCAATGGAAGTCCATAATATTTATGATTAAGATTATTTATAGAGTATTGACTTTTTTTAACATTTACTTTTATTGTCCCTATATAGGAAGGTTGACAATTTATAGAGTATTGACTCACTTCACTTTCGAGGAAGAAAAAATTTGTAAATGGTGCCATAAGCAAGTATAAATATTGCTAGTACTTCATAATCACTCACAAATATTTTTTTTTTAAAAGAACGAATGATACTCAAAATTTTTCTCTTACTGTTCGTCATTAGTACTGCTCGTAAGTAGAATAGTCAATTACTAGTAATAATCGAAAAACGATATAACGTGTTTTTTGAATAATAGTTGGTTCTCAAGGACGGCATTTCATTACATTTGGACTTATGATTTTACAAAAGACAGGCCGTTTACCAACTGATTATCTGGCTTATGGATGTTACTGTGGACCTGATCGTCATTCGAATATTTTCACGCCACTTGATGTCACCGATCAGTGCTGTCAAGCGCACGATGCTTGCTATGATACAATCCGCTCTCCGACTATTCCACGACCTAGTCAAGTCATATACACATTCGACATCAAGCAAAATAACATTCTATGCACAAACACTAATAACAGTAGTGCAGAGTATAAAACTTGTTTTTGTGATAAAATCGCTGCAGAATGTTTCGGCAATGCAAAGAAATCATTCAACAAAAACTATCGCAGATATAATGTCAAACTTTGCCAGTAAACATCGCATTCCTCCTTGTATTTTGTCTTGTTTGCTTAAAATATAAGCTTATTTCTTAATTTGAATACAAGAAATAAAGAAAATGTTTTCTCTATATATTCGGGTGTGGTTATTGTCTTCATCCACACCCACACCCTTATTAAAATACAATACACAAACACAAAGATTTAATCATGTTATAGAATATCATTACCAATAGATAGACATTTATCGAATATTAAATCCATGAGAATCACTTCCAGACAGTGAACAAAGAGGATAAACGAAGCTCGAAAGATCACCATTGACGTCAACATAAATCGTCCTGAAAATGGTTACAGTAGGATCTCATGAATATATATCATTAGTCGAAATCACACATTTACTGTTTTCAATAGTCTACATATTAATTGTATCTGTTCTAGAATTCATATATACTCGTCTTTATCCTTAATCAATACAATTCTGATTAATTAGAACAACACTCACCATCAAGATATATAGTGTAAGCGACATTATACTGTCGATAAATAATGCAAGAATTCACTATTTTGCAAAACTAATTCATCGCTTTTCTGCTCGTATTTTTCTACTATAAGATTTATACTCGATAGCAATTAATAATTTTAGATAATAGTATATTTAGTTGTCTGTTAGGAATAAATGATATATGTCTGAAACGTCGTTCCATTGAATTGATTTATGGTTTCACCTTTGATCATGGCAAAAAAGAGTGCACCCAATCCATCATAATATGAAGAGTTGGTAAGCTGTTCGGAGGTCGAAATCAATCGTCAATTATTAAAATGGTGACAAGGAAACCTTTTCAAGGGTGATATTAAAGACATGTTATCTCTTAGAGAAATAAACGAAAATATACTAAGGGCAGTCAAAAAGTTCTGTCACTTTCAAATATTTATTCAAAGAAAAAACATTTTGCTAATCTTTTTACAATAAATGTTCGAAGTAGTCACCATGATGTTCGATACAAAGTTTCATCCTTTCAATCCATTTCTGAAAGGTCTTTTGGTATTCATTAATAGGTGTTGATTTAAGTGTCTTGGTTATTGCTTTAGCTAAACTTGTATCATCTGGATATTGATCAAGATCACGTTTCAGATAATCGAACAACCAAAAATCTGAAGGAGCAAGATCAGGTGAGTATGGTGGATGAGGCATAACATTGATTTTTTTCTCTTGAAGAAAATCAAAAATAATATTATTTGTATGTGGTTGAGCATTATCATGGTGCAGCTTAATACCATTTGTTGTTGATGATGGTCTTTTCTTCCGTAAATTTTTGACTAACTTTTTTAAACATTGATCACGATAATAAACAGCATTAATTGATGTTCCAGACGGTAATTCATGAATAAGTAATGGACCATTTGTCATAAAAAAGATAACAAACATTGTTTTTTTTTCAAATTGTTGTCTTTTCACTACTGTTGGAGGACCTTCATTTTTTGCCACCCATGCTTTAGATTGTTGTTTTGATTTGATATTTCGATGATAAAACTAACTTTCATCACCAGTAATTATATCACATAGTCTCCATGTACCACCTTCAAGTTTTTGTAAATTTTTGGTGCAAATATCAACACGTCGTTGTCGTTGTTCTTCAGTAAGTTTATGTGGTACCCATCTTGACGTTATCTTTGTTAAGCCTAGATGTTCCTTGAGAATAGTATATACACTACCATGTGATATGTATATCTAAGATGGCAGCAATATAACCAATACTAATATGTGGATCATCGTTCACCAGATCATTAACAGCATCAATATTTTGTTGAGTAATGGCGGTTATTGGACGATCACTTCGAGGATTATCTTCCAAGGACCATTGCTCGTTTGAAAATCGTTCAACCCATCGAGCAACTGTACGATATGAAACAACACTTTGTCCATAAGCAATAGTTAATTCATCATGAATTTGTGTAGCAGTTAAACCTAATAACAAGCGAGTTTTTATATATGACCGTAAACACAGTTTATCCATCTGGAAATAGAGGTGTTCAATAAACTCGTTAAAAATTTGCCATAATAGACACTTATGAAACTTTGTATTGGTATTTTAACAGATAACAGATGTCACTACTAGAATAGGTAAACATGAGAAATAAAACCAATCAGGATCAAATTTTAGACAGCTGTTGCCAAAATTTTTTGACTACCCTTAGTAAATGAATAAGATAAAGCAAAACTTATGCACTAACAAGATCAGCGAAACAATCCTTTACAATGTGGAATACAATATTTTCTAAAAATAATGCATCACTTTTCGAAACAGTTTTTATTCAAAATAACACAAGTTTATCACATATTCTAATGGATGGGTGTGGGTGGGGTGTAGGGTGTGGGTGGGTGTGTGGTGGGTGGGGTGTGGGTGTGTAATGTGGGTGTGAGTGTGAGTGTTGGTGTGTGGGTGTGAATTTGCGTGTGGGTTCAAAGGAGAACACCCTCACCCACACCTACACCCTTATCATAATCGCCACAATTATCTTTTCAAAACGAAGAAAAACTAATACAGATGGAAAAAATTTCATAAATAGTATGTTTTTGTTGGATATTATTCAATTGATTAATAAAGTTTTCTTTTTAGCTGATAAATTACCAAATGAATGAGTTCAACTTCTTCGCAAAAAAAGCATATATTTTTTGTTATATTTTCTGGTACAACAAGTCCTACACATAATTATTCTCCTGAACACGAAGATGCTGGTGAAGTAAGCATAGGTATTAATGCTATATCTTTAATAACAACTCGTTTACAAACGCATACATCATTTGATTCACATAAATCCCTCTCGAAATCAATTCAATCATTAAGATCAAATAAACAACCTGCAGTTGCATTACCTGTTAAAAAATGTTTGCATGGTTTACTAAAACAAGAGCAAATAACAGCATCGCTAAAATCGAATGAAACTAAAAAAGATTATCAATATCATCATTATCACAATTCAACAGAATTATGTACTAAAAGTGATAATACATCACCGGAAGAAGAAGAAGAAGAAGAAGAATTCGATCGACAACAACAACAACAACAACAAATCAATGAGAAAGATCCGGCGGTACGTTTACGATTCGATTTGAATTAGTTTTTAAAGATTAAAGATATGTTTTGGTCAGTCAGAGCGAAATTTTCAGAGATTGTAATAATATAAAAAAGAACGAAATCATTATCTCATCCATAGTTGCTGCTTTGAGATCAACTCTGAGGGTGGGTGTGGGTGTAGGTGTGGGGTGTGGATATGGATGTGGGTGTGGCTGTGGGGTGTGGGTGGGCGTACGGTGTGAATGTGGTGGGAGGAGAGATGAAAACTCATACCCACATCCAAACCTACACCCACACCCACACCCTGGTTTGCCTGTCGGAGTCTCGTCCACGATAAAATCAGATAAGCATTGCGGCACCTTGATCCGTTACGTGATAGACTGGACGAGGACCATCGTCGACCTTGACGCAGAGTACAGGTAAGAGAGTTTCACAGTTGATATCGACTTCGTATGCTTTCCAGACTTACACTACCTTGAAGTTGGGCGGCGCATGACAACCATATCAATACCGAAGTGGGTGCCATGGGAATATTTTCTGAAGGTCATGTTCATTTTGCGTAAAGGTCCAGAAACATGTGACAGCCAGTAGAGCTTGTGATTGGCGATATATACTTAGAGCCGAGCCAGCCGTACAAGCGAGTACTAGAAGATGAAGAAGAAGGTTGTTCATTTTGTGGCGACAGGACTAATCAGATTATTACGTTTCTTGGGCGCAGAAGTTAATCTTTCGTGTAAAAAACGTGAAGGCATACAATAGTTAGAGTTGAATATATTCGCACTCAGATTGTCATCATAGGCAAGAGTGTGGATAGGTGTGTGTTTGAGTATTCTTTAGCTTTTTATCAAAAATCGCACCCACACATCTACACCAAAACAGACGCATGCACAAGAGTTCTTCTGATACATTTTGTGTGAAATAGTAGAACAATTGACCCGGACAACACACTTTCGTTCCTTTTTCTTCACTGTTCTCTCTTCGCCTCTGAAATATAAGGGTGTGAGTGTAGATGTGATTATTGATGAACACTTGAAGAATACTCAAATCCACACCCACATCCGCACCCACGTCCATATCCACATTCACATCCGCACCCTCTCTCAAACATACCCTCAAACTTTGCCAGTTCGTGAGGAACACCTTTAATGGTACGTGTATGCAAAAAATGTGGTTAATTATTCATCTTGTTAGTAACTAATCACGTTCAAAACTGATGGAAAATTTTAAGTTAAGAAGCTTTTTCAAAAGTCTATATTGTTTCACATTCCGAAATTATCTCAAACCAAAAATGATTGTTTTATCATTAAAGAGTAAGGCCGGTACTAGAAAACTAACGTTCTACCCAAGTCTTACATGTATTCAGTTTTAATGGCGCTTCGTGCTTTAGTTGACTTCGCGAAAAATTAGATTTAGATTACACTCAGATCGTAAATTTTGACCGCGTCTTGCCTGATAACCAGAACAAAATTTCAAAATT